TCTGAAGCATTTGCAGCCTGGTGGACCCTGGCAGAGCTTACAGTGTGATGACACAGCCTTTGAGAACCTAACATCACCTCCATTCCATGGTGTGGCCTCAGAGTAGGACTTAAGTCCTAAGCAAAAAACAAACACCCTCCTCCCCACCCCAACAACCCCCACCACTAACACCACCAAAAAACGAAGCTCTGCCATTTAAACGAAACATTTGTGATTGAAATACAGTCTGCATTTCACAGCAGTGGGAATACAACACGGCAATGTAAGCTCTAATCTGTGAGATCACTCAGCTCGTGGTATATCCGGTAAAGGGCTGGCCTTGGAGTTAGGAGGTTGGGTTCAAATTCTGCTTCCAATCCCTCCTGGCTGAGTGGCTCTGGGCAAGTCACTCAATCTCTCTGTGTCCTAGGCACCTCTCAAAGCTGCAGAATTGTCAATTATCATCGATGAAGGGTATTTCCACACCAGAAGTTCTGCGGGGTATCCTTCTCCCCACAATGAAATAACAGGTCCAGGTTTTTAAAAAAGCAATAAGCTTTTCTAAGCACAAGGGCGTAATACTATGTAAATAAAAAAATTTGTCTGCTGCAAAATGATTTGTTAAGATAATCCTTTATTTTTACATACTTCCCAGAAGAATAAATTCTGAACCTTTCAGAGCTCCCTTCCAATGACTATCTTCTTTGAACATCAAAGTTTTTAGGAATTAATTTAAAGAACAAGGTTCTGAAGGGCATATTAAGAGGGGGCTTGTGAAGGATAAACCAGGAGCCTCTACCTTTCAAGCCAGGAGATGCCACTAAATGCCAAAGTAATTGGTCCCCCGCCCCCACCCCCCTTAGGTGGATATGAGTCTTTACTCTGGCTCTTCTGACTGCTGGAGGAGGTTTCATTAAAGGGGGAAGAAAGGCTAAGCCTTTAACATTTATAGAAATCAGACACCATGTGGTTATGTTTTAGTTCACATTGCTCATAAATCTTGTTCTTAATTTAACCGATCTTTGTTACCAGATCAAAACGAAAAACACACTTTGGTTCATATTGGACACACTGGATTGATTTCCTTTGTCCTTACAAATTGCTCTCTCCTGTCATGCGTATCATTCTTGAGGCTTTCTGAAAGGCCACAGCTTGTGGAAATGAGGGTATTTTATCTCAAGACCCTGGGAGGTGATCTTTTAAGAAAACTGTTGTCTTCGACTATGGGAACAGAAGGGCAAAATTAATAAAAGGATTCTGTCGGTGGCTCTGAGACTGAGCAGGACTACAGTGACATCCTCTGGCAAAACAACCTTAGTGATTTTCAATTCTATTTGCTTTTGCTGACTCTCCAATAGAAAGGGAGAAGAGGACTTTCCTAGGTGGGTGCTTTGTATGCCAGCTTATCTCCACGCCTGTGTTTCCATATCAAGAAAGTGACTGCTGTCAATCTCTCTCTCTCTCTCTTTCTGATTCTTGGAATATGGATGTCTCTGTGGTATTTTTAGAGGTAGGTACAATGTATAGGGTCATAGAACGTTGGAGCAGTGAAGGGACCTTAGCGGTCACCCAGGCTAGCCCTCTCATTTTGCAGACGAGGAAACTGAGGCCCAGAAGGGTTCAAGAAGTTGTCTAAGGTCACATAAGAGGTGCAGTTATCACAGAAAAACCATGAAAAAATCAGCCTGGGAGATGACAGTGTTTTCTGTAAACAACACACTCGGAGAGCCAAGATGCTTTAACTTCAATAAAGATGTGAAACTCCTGTTTTCAAGAACAATATCAAAACTTCTTACTTTCAAGTTCACACTGGAGCCAGGAGAAGCTGCCTGGATGGAATTCAGCCAAGACCACACATTGGCCTCTTGCTACATTCCTCCGCCTCACTTTGATGGTCTCGTCTTTATAATCTGCTTTCAATAAAAGCAAAGCTAATGTTTTTGAAGGTCTCTACATGAGTGTCTGCAAAGAAAGAAAACATGGTGGAAGGGAGTCTCCCAAGAGCTGAGACTTCCACAGCAGAGCCCTTGCCTGGGCTGGGTGATCTCTGGCACCTGCCTCCTAAAGGAGGTTCTGCTTTCTCCTCTGCTTGGAGCTTTGAGCTTCAGCCTGGATTTCGTCACTCTAGTAACTCTCCTCAGAGACGCTTTGGAAGAATACTAGCCCACAGCCTTCTTTAAGCTTCATCTTTGTCTCATAGTCCCCTTCTCCCCCTCTTAATTTGTAGATGCCTACACTGCTGATGGAATGTGTCTGTATAGGAGCAAATGGAAAATTGTGTTCAATAAACATGTTCGCGAACAGTAATTATGATGAAGATGATGATGATGATGATAATAAACTACTGCCTTTGGAGATGAGATGTTTCCTATTCGGCTGGAATCATAACTAGGGTGTGGTGATTGGAGCTTTGCTCCAGGGCGTGGGTTTTACAGGGAACTGACAGCACTTTCAGTCCTTCAATATATAAACATGCTAGAAATCAGCATCTACTTAGTAAACATAATAATCTAAACCAGGAAAATACTAGATAGAAGGATAGGGTGATCTCCTCCCTCTTCCTCACCCTTATGACTGTGTGCTTAGGGTCATTTGTCCAAGATATAATTTGTGTTGCTTATCTCAGGAAAAATCAACCCAACAAAAACCCAGTTATGACTCTACAGTCAACACAGTCTCTAAAAATAAAATCTTATTGGTTGTAAAAGTAGGGATGGGAATCCAGTCTGGTCCCTGGGCCTTTGATATTACTGTTAGCATCCACTATATGGGAGCAGGACACAGTGAATGAGTAAATGCCCCTCAGAGGACCAGAAAAGCTCTCTCTTAGCAGTCTGTTTTCCAGCCATGCTGGGTCTTCAGGGATCTACAGCTACTGCCACCATTTTGGAAGGGCTGAGGACCAAGGCAGTGGAGGGAGCGGTGCCCCTATCTTGATTACAATCCTTTTCACTGGGCATAGTAACAAAACTGAATATCTGGACAGGGTGGATACTGGTGTTTCACAGGGGAAAGGAAAACCCTAAATGCTGGTCAATTGCATGGAGCTGGGGAAGCTTTCATCTTCCTCTTCCTTCATCTTTCTCCTCTACTTTCTTCCAGTCCTTGCAAGATTCCTTTTCAAACCTCTAGGTTTTCCCACACCGCCTTCTGTGATCAGAGTCTCTGATTTCAGATTGTTGTGGCAAGACAAGATCGGGGCTAAAGCCATTTTGACCTTCAACGATTCCTCAGTATAACTGCCATCCTCATTGTCAGTGAGTCTAGCCAGTGTGTGCCTGTGAAGATTGGGATTCCCGACAGCAGTCTGTACAAACTATGATTACCTGGAGGGCAGCCATGAAATAAGGCTGCCAGCAGAGCTGAGCTAGGAGGCCACCGTGAGAGATGATGGGAGAACGCCTGGCATGGAATCATGGATTTCTGGGAAGGGCTGACAAGTAACCGTAAGCCTTAAAAGAGCAGCTCAATTTAAGACAAGCGTGGTCTGCCAGGGCCGGCTTTTAAACAGCCAGGACTTAAAACATGACTTCATTGAGTGCAAAATGAATTCACCCCTAATGAGTCGAGAGGGCAGCTGGTTGGTAAGTCCAAGTATCCAGAAGTCAAAACGAATGAAGAACAGAAAGTTAACTGTTTGCAGCCAGATGCCAAATTTTGGACCTTGGCTGCACGGCCTGAAGCCCTCTTTCATTTCCACCTGGGTCACGGCATCATTAAGAAGGCTATGAATCTGAAATAGAACTATTGGGTCCCAATAGCTGACACGTCTAATAGCCTTCCAAAGACTGGCAAAGCATTTTTACTCATGGTAAATGGTGGAAACGGAGCCTCAGGGGAGCTAAATGAATGCTTACAAATAGTAAAGGCATGAGGCATGATTCAGGTCAAGTCAAGCAGCATTTATTAAGTGCCTACTGTGTGCCAGCACCTTGGTGAGACCTAAATTGAAACCTGGATCTCTCCTGAGTCCACATCTGGTATGTCACCACATCATAATTATTTGATGTAAGAGTGATGGAATAAAGGGATGACCAATCAGAGGCTGGACAGTGAAGAGGATAGAGCATTGGAATTGGAATTTGTACTGGAAGTGCCTCAGCCACTAGCTGTATGACCTTGGGCAAGTCATTTAACTTCTCCCTGCCCTCAGTTTACTCATCTATAAAACAGGGATAATAACAGCACCTGCTTTGTAGTGAGAGTCAAATGAGATGATATTTGCAAATGTTAACCCCTTATAAATGATATTATTATTATTCTAGGCATGGTCTAGAGTTGGAGGGGGCATCTGAGGACATCTGGTTCACGCCTTTCCTTCAGGGTCACACGGAGAGTAAGTGATAGAGCTGGGCATCGAGTCTGGGTCCTCTGACTATGTGGCCCAGAGAGGAAACGTGACTGGTCAGAGAACCGGAGGCCAGGCTGGCCTCTGACCACTGGGTCAGGGCTCTCTAAGCCAGGCCCCCTTCATTCTGCCGCCCCCTTCTGTTAATTGTCTGCCATGTATCCTGGCTAGAGCTCCTTCCTCCATATTTGTCTCCTTTTATACACCATTAGACTGTAAGCTCCTTGAGGGTAGGGACTGTCTTTTCCCTTTTTGGGTATTCCCAGGTCATTGCAGGTGCTCAATGAGTACTTATCGATTTAAAAGTTAAGCAAATAAGCAATAAACAAATAATCGATGGAAAAATCGATCGAGTTTGACAGGGGAAGAAACTGTCTCCAGGGCAGCTGCGGCGCCTCCGCAGGGCTCCAGGGGGAGCTGTGGCGCAGCACCGCCTCCCCGCCCCGCCCCCGCACGGGACTCCTCCCCTCCGGGCGCTCAAGCTCACGTGAGAGACTTCGGCACGTGACCGAAACCCGGCCGGCGCTAGGAGTCATGTGACAGGAGGCGACGGCGGCTGCGGCGGCTGTGCCATGGCAAAGGAGGGCGATGGGGAGCGAGCTCTGCTGGCGGCGGAGCCGGAGCTCCCGGAGCCCGAGCCCGGGCCCGGGGCCGAGGCCGAGGCCGAGGCCGGGTCGGTGTCCGGGGCCGGGGCCTCCCCGCTGTCTGCGCTCTGCGACCCGGCGCACCTGGCGCACCGGATAGTGGCGCTGGCCTTCATGTGCTTCCTGGGCTTCGGTGAGCGGAGCGGGCCGGGCCGGGCCGGGGAGCCGGGGGACTCCGGGGCGTTGAGGCGGGGCCTGGGCAGCTGAGGGGGCGGCTTCTGCGTCCTCCGGCCCCCGCTCTCCCCTCCCCCTTGGCAGGGCGGGAAGGGGAAGGTGCCCGGGTCGGGACAGGGAGGGGGGCGGGGGTCTGCGGGTGCTGGTGAGGACGCACCCGGGCTGGGCTGCGGGGCGATCAGAAAGGGGAAGGCGGGGGGTGATGGGGCCGGCGCGGCCTCCTCCGTGTGCCGGAGTCGGGCTGGGTGAGGAGGGGTCAGGACAGACCCCGCCGGGGGGCCTGGATGGGACCCCGGCAGAGGAGCCTCTGAGGAGACCCCGAGACCCGCCGACCCGAAGCGCGCCTGGCCGGGCCTGGGGGCCGGGGCGAGCCTCCCTTCGCCGCCGCCGCCTCTGCCTTCGCGCTTCCAGCCAGCCCGTGTTTCCAGCCTCCGCGCCGGTGCGTTAAGCGGAGCCTTCCAGGGAGTGTAAACTGAGACCCTGTGTATCGGCTTCTGCTCCCTCCAGGCAGCTACTTCTGCTATGATAACCCCGCCGCCCTGCAGATCCAGATTCAGGAGGTAAGGCTCCACTCCCACCTTGCTCCTTCCCTCTCATTGCCCCTGCTTATTCCGAAGGCCCATGGAGACCCTCGTAATTCGGGGGTCTGCCTTCCGCAGTGACAGTCGAGGTTATGTTTGCTTGTGTAGTCCTCAGATCCCGGAGAGGTAAGGAGACCTGCGGGTCTGGAGTCCCAGGCTGTTCTGGAACCCCCAGAGAACCGAAGTGACGGGGGACGGACACGTCCCCTGATGCATACCGTGCCTTAAAGACTCCCCATTACCCCCCGAGGAGGCATGGGAATGTTGGCAGCCATTGTCAGATCGAACCACGGGCTGCCTCTTACTTCTGCCTAAAAACCGCTTTCCCTGTCTGTGGGAGGGGAGTGGGATGGGCAGTTTTCCTCTTCTATTGAAGGCCAGGCTTTGGTTTGAGCGTGTTTCACCGGTGTGTTAATATAAGGGAGTCAGAGGGAAGAGCACAGAGGGAAGGCTCCGGATTCCTTCTTTGTGTCGTCTCTGCCTCTTGCATTTAGGTCTTGGGGGTGAGTGGGGTGGGAGGGGGGCACAGGAAAGGGCAGGCCTGTGCAGCCTGCCCCTGTAGCCGCTTATGGCCCGCTGGAACGCTGGAGGATGTCCAGGATGCGCCTGAAGTCCTTTGGTCTGCTGTAAGTGGCTCCAGGGCCGGGGTTGTGCAGGCCTGGCGTAGCAGGTGCTGGGATTTGCTGTGGTCCGAGTTGTGATGGGTGCCGGTGCCCATGTGTATCAACATATTAAAATCCATGGGTGACTCTCGCATTGGCCACACGTCCCGACTGGTTTTCACTCTTCAGGCCCTATTTAGGGTCGTAAAATTTGTAATTGGATGGATCTGGACCTTCTTAACAGAGACTGATTTCAAGATGAGGAGATACAAGGCCAGAGAACTTAGTGACTGAGCTGGAATTTGAAGCCAGACCTGGGTCTTCTGATCAAGTGTTCTTTTCCCTTGACCACATTGGATCTGGAGAACTTTGAGAGTGTGTGTGGGGTCCTTCTTGGACAGAGGAGAATCCTTATGGAGCTTTTCTTTGAGGGGCTGGTGGAGAGGAAGGATGGAGGCATGGCATTTTTTATTGTTTACTTTTTTTTTTAGGCAATTAGGGTTAAGTGACTTGCCGGGGGTCACACAGCTAGTAAGTGCCAGGTGTTTGGTCTGAGGCTGGATTTGAACTCAGGTCCTCCTGGCTTCAGGGCCGGTGCTCTATCCACCGCACCACCTAGCTGCCCTGGCGTGGCATTTTTTACAAATACCTATGCCAGAGATTTTTGGTAGGTAATTGCTTTGAGTAAGTTGCATAGGAACAGAAATGTGGCAAATTATGAAATTCTAACTGAATGCACTACTTAAAAACCTTTTTTGTTCTGTGTTTATGTAATAATAGCTGGCATTTATATACCGTTTCAAGGTTTGTAAAAAGCTTTACAGTGTATACAGTTATCCTTTCCACATCATGACTTACCTCATCATGGTTTGAATATGTCACAGGTTGACATAAGAAATTAAATGGGAATTTTGGGGGAGTGTTGTAGAAACCACAAACAGCACACAAAGTCCAGGAGATGAGTGACAGGAAAAGTTTAGAAACTCAGAAAGGCATAAAATATATGTATAGTATTGTATAATATTAACATAGTTTATCTTTTAATACCATAATAATTCAGGCTTCCTTTCTGGTATAAAAGGAAGGGGCAAAAAATTTTATGTGGATTTTCCAGATTGTGAGGGCACTGCGCCCCTAACTCCTGTGATGTGGAAGAGATAGCTGTACACACATATATGCGTGTATGTGTGTGTGTGTATGTAAACATATATGTGTGTGTATATATATGTAAACATATATATATATATGTGTGTGTGTGTGTGTGTATGTCTGATTTAATTCTCACCACAACCCTGTGAAATAGGTTCTATTAATAGCCCCATTTTACAGATCAGGAAACTGAGGTTGAGAGAATAAGTGACTTGCTCAGGGTCACTCAGCTAGTCAATGTCTGAGGCAGGATTTGAACTCAATGCTCTAACCACTGGGCTACTTCATTTCCTATCATATCTTTATATTTGTCATAATTTTGCTGCTCATTTGTAATTTTCCTGACACATTTGAAAACTTCATTCACTATTTGTCTCTTGCAAGTTTAAGTGGAGTAAAATGATTGTTTTTCTGCTTTTCCCCAGATTTTTTATATTTTTCATGGAAATTTGACTTTTGTATAGGGAAAGATTCATGGTCTGGGCCTTTAGGAGAGAAGGAACCTCTTTGCTTATGGCTGAAACACTGTGGGAGATGTTTCTCTGCACAGAAAAGTTAGATGGTCATGACCTGTTTGTTGCCAAGCTGTAGCCTAAAGTGTAACTGCTGACAATTTTTTGCATCTTTTCCATCTAGGATATGCAGATACCCACTGTGACCTTCATGCTTCTGTACTCCTGGTACTCTTGGCCCAATGTCATTCTTTGTTTCTTTGGTGGCTTTTTGATTGATCGAGTGTTTGGAATTCGGTAAGTCTGGTGGGACATGCTGGCTGAAGGAGGAGGTTAATGGCCTGTAACAGTCGTGATTGATGCCATTCAGGCTTTTCTGAAAAGTCATCGGGGCTGTATTCAGAACTGGTTGGTTTATGGTTTCATTATATTTCTCTGGAGTGGGTCTGAGCCTTTACTGTTCATTTCCTAAAGTGGTTTAAGGTAAGTTCATGCTCACTTTTATTCTTGCAAAGGACATTGCTGCTGAGGAATTAACCTTACTCACTTAGTGAACAGATTATGTGATGTGTGCTTTGTCTAGGGAGATGGCTGCCTTTTCCTTTATGTATTTGCTTTTTCTTGGGTAGTTATCATTACACTTCTACCAGAAGATGGGCAAGGTAGGAGAGAGCGTGAAATTCCAGTCAACCAGCTTTGCCAATTTTTAGATCTGGCCAAAATATGGGGGAAGGTTGATGCTACTTACCAGATTTTTTTTAACCTATATTTTTGCGTTTTATTCATGTTGATGAAGAAGCTAGATAAACCAGCACTGGCTGTAAGTTAGAGCCACAGGTCGACATAACGTGACATTTCAATGTCATCAAAGGTTGTGTGACTATTACAAAGTTTTGGGGTTACTTGGTTAACAAGCCTACCACTGTTATTACTGCATGTATGTTGCAGTAAGTGTGGTACTGGTCAGTAGAAACTTTTTGAAGTTTCATCTCATCATTTTGTTTAAGAAGTTAAGGTGAATTAAGTTAAAATTTGCTGTTCTCGAATCCTTTGGAATTTTCTGGAGAAATTTTTAAATATTTAAAATAATTGGTGTTTCTTCAAGAGAGTGGGAAGGTTGGCGGCAGTGAAAATTGAACTGAATTTTATAGACGTCTTGGTTATTGGATTATGGTAATTTGTTCTCAACTCTTTTCTTTCTAGGTGGGGCTCCATTATTTTTAGCCTCATTGTCTGTATTGGACAGGTAAGGAGGACTTGGTGAGGCCCTGGAATTCTTGCCCAAATCAATGAATTTTTAGAATGTCATGAATCCTTTTATACCCAGCCAGATGTGAGCTGTGGATGCAGGCCCTTGAGTAGTTGAGCCGAGTTATGTATCCATCAAAGCTGCCTTCGGTTTGGGCGAGTCAGTCTGATACTTGGATATTTGAATTACTGTAGTAAATTCCATGGGGTGGGCCGGGCCTGGCTGAGGGCTGGGCTGTGAGTCAGGGAGACCAGAGTTCACTGATCGCCTTTGACACTAGCTGTGTGAGTCTGGCACGTTGCTTAGATTCTCTGCCTTGGGGAATTTCCTAGGGCTTGGCTGCTGAGATGGTTGTGATAAACACTTGTGTTCCTGTAGAGGTGGGGGCATTTCTTCGTTCTGTGTGCTGCAGGTGGGCACCTGTACTTGTTGATGGATCGCTAAGCAATGTTTGTATTACAGGTCGTTTTTGCCATGGGTGCCCTAGTTAATGCTTTTTGGCTGATGCAGTTGGGCAGATTTGTATTTGGGTAAGTTAAGAGATCATTTCATTTATTCCTTAGTGGCTAATTATAATTTCCTGCTGTCAGTTTATTGAAAATTTTCCCTTTTTATATTTGTCAGTTTATTTCCTTTGAATTATGTAAAGCACATGAAACTTACCCACCAAGAAGGTCTTGAAGACCAAGAAGGAAACACAGCACCTGTAAATCCCTGTTCCCCTTTTTTCCTTAAAGAATAGGTGAAGTATTGCTGTGACTGCTTATCACGTGGGGTGTGAACATAAAGACAATCCTTGTAGTTCTTGCCCCCGTCCTGGCTGCAGTTAGCCATCTTTTCCTGCTAGAGATTTTATTGTACTGTCATGAGGCAGGAAGATATTAAGCCTTATTTGGAAGCCCAGGCCATTTGATTGTAGTCTGATCATTCACTGGGATTCACATGCAGGGGTGTTTGGTAAAGAGTTCCATCCTCGGGACTGGAGGTCTCTGTATTCCAAGACCATTGGAGGGATCAGTTGAGTTTGCATTTTTAAAAGCCTGCGTGTACCCAGCACTGGCAAAGGGGGGGGGAGGGTTCAACACCCACTAAGCACCTACCATGTGCAAAGCCCTGTTCAAGAGTACACAGACAAAACAATGGAACAGGACCTGCCCCCAGGGAGCTTATATTTTGCTGCAGATAACGCCACCTGCCCACATGTAAAGAAGAGGATTTTGCCAGCATGGGAAATGGTGTGTGGGAATCCTTTTCACCAGCGTGCCATCTTGTCTGTGGCTTCCCAGAGAGTTGCCTGATGCACAGAGAGGGACCGGCCCAGGACCCCAGAGCTAGTGGGTGAGGGTAGGGCTTCCCGACTCCCAGCGCCACACTGACAAGCTGGGCTACTTTTCTGCAACACGTGCAGATACGCAAATACAAAAAAACATGCGGTTGCACGTGGAGGGAGCATTAGGAAAGGCTTCCCCTGAGGGGTGGGCTGGGCTCGAGCTCTGAGTTCAAGGGGCAGTGAGTGGCTCAGTAGCTGATTGAACCAGAAGATGTAGAGGGGTGGGAATGGAGTAAGATGAGGTTAGTGAGGGAAGGGTTGGAGGAGGGTGGCCTGTGGCCTTTCTCTGGCTTTGCTTGGCCAGGTGTACAAATGAGACAGCTGATAAGTGACCAGAGAACAGTTCTAAGATTAGGTGAGGGAGTGAGATGATGGTGGAGGGAATGTGGGGGGGGGGATCGAAACTAAATGACGGTTCATCATGAGAAGGAAGTTAGGATGGGGTTGGATGAGACTTCAGAGGTCATTTAGTCCAAGCTCATTTCACAGATGAGAAAACTGAGGCCCAGTGATGAGCAGTGACCTGTAACATAGGCAGGGAGTACATTTAATTGAATTTGGAAATATTAGGGCAACATATGGGGTCCCCTACTTTTTTGTGATGAGGAGTTGATCTATTCTTCCCTGAAGCTGTAGAATTTGGGGAGAGAACAGAAGGTTTGCTGATGAACCCCTGGGTAGAGGGGTATGCAGTTTGGGGGGATGTTCTAACCTTGGGCCACATTCGTTATTAGCCTCTCAGGTACTGGAGAGGCCTAATGTTGGATAGCTCAAGGTGAGATCAGTCATTGGAGCACTGTGGCAGGAAGGACTGAGTATAAGATAAATAGATTGCTAGAAATGTTGCTAATTGCCTGTGCCCGTAACAACAATGTTTGTTAGCTGGACATGTGTGATTTCTTAGGCTGACTTGTAGAGGTTCAGGACCAGACAGTGCCCAAGGGAGCCACTACGTTTGGCTTCCGAACAAGAAAGAAAACAAAAGGGAAGAGAGAAGGAGGGGAATGGAGAGGAGGAGAGAAAAGAACATTTAAGGGTCCGGGCAGAGGTCGTGAAGACCAGTGAAGGTGATTGAGGTGATGAGTGAGCTGGTTGGCCTGCGTACTAAGGAGATTACTTTGGCAGATATCATGGAATATATGTGCATTGCAAAAGTCAGTCCATTAACAGCAGGAACACTTCAGTGCTGCAAGGACAGGTGACTTCACTGCAGTAGTAAGCACTCTGTGCATTGCTGTGGCCAGCCTTCTGTTAACCATCCTTTCTGGTAGCCTGGTCTTTGGGGGACAGATCTACAGGCCCAGAGACTCTGCCTTAAGAGCCGGTGGTTGTCTCCACGATGAGACACTGCGTTGGTGGAGCAGGGCTTCGAGGAAGGCTTCCGTTTGGGTTAGTAATGGCAAAAGGACAGAAACGAGAGACTGGAGAGAGGAATGAGATACGTGAAGGCCTGGGAGGGACGACGGGGTCATTGAGGAGCTGGAGTAGAAAGAGAGGGAGATCACCTCCAGTGTCGCAGGAGCAGTTTGCCACTACGTTTTCCTCGGTCCACATCACTGTTTCCCGTCTGTCTTTCTGGGTCAGTACTTCTGGTTTTGGCCCTCCTTCTTCTTCATTACTTCGGCCTACCACAGGGCTTCCTGTCTTCTGTTCCCAGTCTGTCCTCCAATTCATTCTTCACACACCTGCCAAAGTAATCTTCCTAATACACAAGTCTCATCATTTTTCTGTTGAAGAATCATGCTTATCAAAAGACACATATGTTCCTCAGCCTGGCTTTTATAAATGATTTTCTACCACAGAGGTGTTGAACTGGGCCAGCAGAACTCCCCAGGGCAGAATTAGATGATAGTGTAATTGGGAAATGTTTAACAAAATAAATAAAATACAACACAGCACAGGTAGTTTGCTTGTGGTTTTCTGAGTAGGTCTGTGCCCCTCTGCAGAGCCTGTCTCTTTGAGTTGGACCCCACTGCTGCCGGCCTGCACACTGCCTTTCCAGCTGTCCCCTAATCTTGTTTCCTGTCTTCTTGTCTCTGCCCTCACTGGCAGCCCTGCTTGAAATCATCTTCTGTCCCATCTCTGCCTTTTGGAAATCTTTCTGTTCTAAGAATTCTTCTTTGAGATCAACCCTATTCCCCTTTCCTCCTCAAATCATTCCTGCACCTGTCAGAACATTTCTGATGCACTTAGGTTGTGATTTGTGACCAGTGTAAGTGGACATTTACCTTAGCCTCACCCTACCCCATTCGTCTTTACATTCCTAATACTTTACAAGATGCATTGCATAGAGTTGGCATGTGATAAATGTTGAATTGAATGATTGATTTGCGTTTTCTTTTTTTAGGATTGGTGGGGAGTCCTTAGCAGTTGCACAAAATACCTATGCTGTGAGTTGGTTTAAGGGCAAAGAATTAAACCTGGTATTTGGACTCCAACTTAGCATGGCTAGAATTGTGAGTAGGACAATACACTTCCGATCTGTTGAATGTTTCGATGACAGTATTTCACACACTTTTTGCTCTGATTAGGTTGTGTTGCTCAAGTAGACTAGACAGTAAAGAAGTAGTTTTATTATCTTGTATTCTTTTTTAGGGTTTTATAGACAACACTCTGTGTGTGTGTGTGTGTGTGTATGTGTGTGAGAAGAGAGAGTGTGAGTGTGTGTTTCAATAAAGCTAGTAAATCATTAATAAATTTTTGATTTTTGTTTTGTTTGTTAAGTGTTATGTACACAAGCACACATATGAAGCTACTAACATTTGGCTTAAGAGAAATTTCTTTAGAAATTCTGCAGTATTTTAAATAGTTACTCGCTGTAATGTTTCACCATTTTTCACATATATAAAATATTGTACAATGTCAAGCTATGCAGTGTTAGAAGGACATTCCAGGTCATCCTGCTTGGTACAGGAATTCCCCTGGTGACATTTCTGACTTAATCATCTAATCTTTGTTGGATGAGAAGTTCTTTATTTTTGTGATAATTTATTAAGTTTTTCTTAAACAACTGTTTTTAAAAATTTAATTTAATTGTTCAGCTTTTATTTAGTATTTTATTTTTCCCCAGTTACACATAAAAACAATTTTCAACATTCGTTTTTAAAACTTTGATTTCCAAATTCTTTCTCTTCCTCCCTCCCCAGCCCCCCCCCCCCCCCCCCCCCCTTGAGAAAGCAAGCAATTTGATATAGGTTATACATGTGTAGTCATGCAAAACGTATCCATAATAGTCATGTTGTGGAAGAAAACATAGGCCAAAAAAAACCAACTCAAGAAAAATAAAGAAAGTAAAAAAAATACGTCATTCTGTATTCGGGACACCATCAGTTCTTTGTCTGGGGATGGATAAATTTTGTCATCCTAAGTCCTTCCGAGTTGTCTGGGATCATTGTATAGCTGAGAATAGCTAGGTCATTCACAGCTGGTCATCTTAAAGTACTGCTGTTACTTTGTGCACAGGACATTTCACTTTGCATCAGCCCATGCAAGTCTTTCTGAGAACATCCTGCTCCTCATTTCTTATAGTACAATTGTATTCCATCCTAATCACACGCCACAACTTATTCAACCATTCCCTAATTGATGGGTTTCCCCTCAATTTCTCATTCTTTACCCCCAGAAATGGGCTGCTATAAATATTTTTGTACATATAGGTCCTTTTCGTTTTTGTTTTTTCCCTTTTGGGAGATAGACCTCGTAGTGGTATTGCTGGGTCAAAGGGTATGCTTTGGGCATAGTTCCAAATTGCTTTATAGAATGGTTGAATCAGTTCACAGTTCCACCAGCAGTGTATTAGTGTCTCATTTTCCCCCACATCCCCTCCAACATTTGTCATTTTCCTTTGCTGTCCTATTAGTCAGTCTAATAGGTATGAGATAGTACCTCAGAATTGTTTTAATTTGCATTTCTCCAATTAATAGTGAGTTAGAGCATTTTTTTCATATGGTTGTAGATAGCTTTGATTACTTTATCTGAAAACTATTCATATCTTTTGATTATTTCTCAATTGGGGAATGGCTTTTTTCATAAATTTGACTCAGTTCTCTGTATGTTTGAGAAATGAGGCCTTCATCAGAGAAACTTGGTTCAAAAATTTTTTCACAGTTACTATTGCTAACTTCATGTTTCATCCTATGCCTCCCCCCCATTTATTCTAATCTTTCTCTCCTTTCACCCTGTCCCTCCTCAAAAGTATTTTGCTTCTGACTGCTCTCTCTCCCAATCTGCCCTCTCCTCTGTTCCCCCCTCCCCTTCCTTTTCTTATCACCTCCCTTCCTACTCTCCTGTAGGGCAAGATAGATTTCTGTACCCAGTGGAGTGTGTGTATTCCCTCTTTGAGCCAATTCTGATGAGAATAAGGTTCACTCCCTCTCCCTCTGCTCTTCCCTCTTCCCTTCCATGTAAAATCTAACAACTATTTTTTTAACTCAGAAATTCTGGTAACTTTATTACAAATCAATATATTTTCATTAACTAAAACATAATATATTGATTTTTTAAAAAAATTAAGCATTGTGAATTTGGTCTATCTTATGGATCTATTTGACATTTTCTCTTTGGCTTATAAGATAATTTATACATTTCATGTTACCCTGGGAAACTTAGCTTAGGCACTCAGCACCATGGGAGTTTTCTGGGCCTGTTTTATAGATGTAGTCCTGAATTACCTATTAGGAACTTGGTTCCCCATGGAAATAAATTGTAAACAGGTTAACAATAAAATAACATTTATGGTACTTGAAACAGTAATAGTTACAGGTAAAACAACAAAAAGTTTCATTAAGCTTTTACTTTAGGACACTCTTCAAGACACTCAACATTATATTCTCTTTTAAGTTGCCTTGAAATAAAAATTCAGCAGCAAGAGGAAAAAAGTCCATTATGGAATGCTAGAACTGTTTCTCCTGAAATGAATCCAAAAGTTAATCATTGTGAACTGCTCCTGGAAAACAAATAAACTGGTATTACTTATTCACCAAAAGTTCATGAAACAAATTATTTTGAAATTTTGGTGATTAATCATAGCATTCTCTTATCAAATGATTGGAGAACAACATTTCTCAGGCCAATTCACGTTAAAAAATTGTGCAAAGACTATTAATGCAAAGAAATAGAATACTTATTCAAATTGTGCACATTTAACTTTGTTAGAATTCAAGAAATTTGATTTGCTACATCAGCATATAGCAATGATTATGTTGATTCCGGACGGAAGTGTCAGAACAATGTAATCCGTGACAGCATCCTAAGAATGATTATTAAAATGAAATTGAGTCTCCAAAGTCTTCTCAATCAATAGTTATGTCTTAATTGGTTTCAATTTTAGTAGACTGTTCTTAAAAATAAAAAAGTGCAATAGTACTATGTGATTAGGGAAATATATCCAAATGTGTTTCTTACTTTAACCTCCGTAGCTATATTTTCATTGCTTGTTTCTTTAACTAAGATGTTGTAAAATTATTCTCTATCTGGCTGGTTGGTTAATACTAGATATAGTTAGCAAGTATAAAATTAGGCTATAAAATATTCAAAAAGGTATGCTTCTTTATAGCTTCTTAGGATATTAAATGATTTTTAAAAACTTAATATAATGGGATCTTGGTATGGTTAAAGACCATGAAACCAATTTTAAGGAGCATTTCCCAGAATTTTGAGATAAAAATGTCTATTCAGTACCAAATATTTATTTATAAACATATCTATAGGTTCAGCTGTTGTTTCAGAAGCTTCCATCTATGATTTTCTTTCAGTTGACCTGATTAGTCTTCCATATCAAGGCAAACCGTAGGTAACTGATTTGACCGAAATAAGTTCTGCCCTCAAAATATGGAGACCTGCTCTAAGTTAAAGGTGATTCAAATAATAGAAATGTGTTTTCTTGTTTAAGATTATATTCTACTTTTGAAATGATCCAATATATGAAAATTGAAATGGACCAGAAAAAACCACCTGCTTTTCAATTCACCGAAAGTTTTACAGTATTTCTTAGTGAATTTAAGAAGTAATTAGTTTATTAAATATTTTGATTGAGTAGAAATTTTAAGGAAAATACCAGATGCATAAAACAGGAATGACTTTATAAATAGATGGTATCTTAAGAACAATAGAAGTAATTATACTTTTTCCAAAGTACAGGCCATCTCAGTGAGAGACTATTCTGCCACATAAGTTACTAACTGGCTTAATAGGCCATTATCTCATCTGAAAGGCTAATCTAGACAGATCGTCTTTAGGCTATGAAGGAAGGATTGCAAGGTACTCTCTGGCATGGCTAACAGCTATTTTTAAAGAAAGTTCTTGGTTCTCTAGGACCTGAATGGTTCTCCTTGCAGTTTTCACCCTTTTGACCTCCTCCTACTACCTGGCTTCCAGTGGCTCTGGGGCCGTCACATGGTGGAGGATCCCTTGAAGCCTTTCTTCAAGGCCTCATTTCCGTGCATCGCTCCCCAGATGCGATGGTTTCCCGGCCCTTGCCCCTGTCTGGTCATTGTAGTGCTCAGAACTGATTTCCCCCCTTGCCCTTCCCACCTAGCGGGCTCTGGCCAGCTAGCTCCTTAGACTCACTAGTTCCTTCCTTGGACTAGCCATGATTCCGCGGGCCCTTTGGGCCGCTGAGTCGTCCTTCTGCCCCGTGTTATTGAGCTTCTGGTCAACCAGAACCTCACGGCTTCATGTAGTTTAGGTCAGCCAGGTGCTTTTGTAGCTGATTTAGAAAATGTCAGTGTTGGACTTCCTTTAAGTTGTTCCCCCATCAAAGCAGGAATAGGAGCAAAAAGAGGCCTGTGAAGCCCATAACGAGTTAAATCAGGTGACCGAGCCTCGCTGTGGACGGCCGGGGCCAGGGATGGAGGACGCACGTCACAAAGGTTGTCCCTGTTCTCTAAGCTTGGAACAAACAAGGAAAGTGTAGACTACACAGTGTAGGTCAGCTGTCCTGGGCGCGGCCTGCTGCCTGGGAGCCGGGGGAGTCTGAGAGTAGAGGGGAGGAGAAGGCAGAGCAGCTCACCCTTTACTTTACTTCCCGTTTGCTTTGCCAAGGAGGATGGTCCTTGGACTGGAGACAAGAGAAATGACCGGAGTGGAGTCCAGACTCAGGACACGAGAGGTGCTAAGAAGAAAGGTTCTTCTTACTGATCTTCATGAGGTCATGCCCCCAGTCCCAGACAGACTATCCTGGGAGCTGGATGTGATTGCTGAGCCAGTTGGGAATTGTTGAAAGATAGTGGGAAATGGGGGGTGGGGCAGGGATATTGCAGGATTTGAGAAGGGCACTTCCGGTCTTCAACCAGAAGAGAATGGAGTCTGCATCCTGGGGGCTGGTAAATAGAGTGTTTTTCCTGGCAAAATTCTAGAACTTTTTGTCCAGGGGAAGGTTAGTGAACATTTAAGGAAAGAATCGGTGTGGCTTCATGAAAGCTAGCTCATGCCAGGATACCCTTATTTTGTTTTTACAGGGTTACTGGGTGAGAAGATCAGGGTCAGGTCACAGATGTAGCTTACCAAGGTCTTACAAAGGCTTTGGCAGAATGTCTTGTACTGTCCCCCTGGACGAGATGGAAAGGTCTGGGCTGGATGATAGAAAGTAGGTGTGTTGGAAACTGGCTGAATGACGGGACCCAATGGTTTGGTATTGACTTGGAAGGGGAGCTCGTGGAGTGTCCCAGGGATCTGGTTTTGGTGCTGTGCTATTTGACATTGTTATCTGTTACTGAGATAATGGCAGGAAAGGGGCTTGTCAGATTTGTAGGTAGCACAAAAGTAGTAGTAACGTGGTAGTCAGGTTCTCAAAAGATCTTGTTGGGCTAGACTCTGGGACCCGGTCTGACAACATGAAATTTAAGAGTTAAATCTAAAGTCTTTTACACTTGGGTTTAAAAAAAAACCAAAAACCAGCTTCACATTCAGCAGTTTGATGTAGTGGCCCAGAGGCCAGTGTAATCGATGGCCTCACGAGCAGCCTCATGTCCAACTTAGGGAGGTGACGGTCCTGTGGGGCCCCGCCCTGGTTATTAGATGCAGTTCTGGGGGCCCCAGTGTAAGAAGAACATGGATAAGTCTCTAGCATCCAGGGAGGACGGCAGGATAAAAATGGTTGTCTTGAGATGATGCCATGGGGGAATTACTCAAAATGTACCAGCGGGGGGCAGCCTGGAAGAGACAGGTCTTGAGGTCTTGAGGCCCTCTCTTCTGCCTTCTGGTAGTAGAAGGAGGTCCCCTAGAAGAGGGCCCAGCCTCGTTCTGCTCAGCCCCTTAGGGCCGAGCTGCAGGCACCCGGTGGCGTTGCGGAGAGTCCAGTTGAAGATTGACATGAGGAACATCGCAGTGACTCACAGTGGCCTGCGCCTCAGGTTCCCTCTCACTGGATGACCGCTTGTGGAGCGCCTTGGAGAGCATCCTTCCTTGTGCAGCTCTGGGTCCTTGTGACCCTTTGTCTACTCTTAGAGGAATCATTCCCCAGGCCTCTGGAGGCCCTCTGGTCCTACCTCCTCCTCCTTTGGATGTGAAAACCACAGCTTGGGGGGGGTCCCGCAGGTGGGCCAGGCCTCCAGAGCTGGCTCTTGGTCCCTGGCCAGCCCACGCCTTGTGTTTGTGGCGAGTTTGAGAGCCTGTCATTTTCTCTTTAGTTGTTGGTGCATTTTACATCACACCTACCTTTCTCCATAGTTTTGCAATTTTATCAGAGCCTTTTCCGCTTTTTGTTAAGGTTTAGTTTAAGGGCCCCTTGCTTAGGCTGATAATTTTCTTCCCAATCATGAGCTTCATAATATTTATAGAAAAAGCAGAAGCTAAACCAAATTCCGTCTTGTGTCCTGACCAGCATCTCACAAGCCTCCTCACAGGCCTCGAGCTAGCTCCCCCAAGCCTTTCTTTTTAGGAAGTCGTGGCCTGCAGCCCAAGGAGGAAGAGACCTTGGAAATCACGGAGATGAGCTCCTATTTTATAGATGAGGAAGCAGGCCCAGAGAAACCCTGAGGTAGAAAGTCCTGGCTAGGAAACACAGTGGCTACACGGGGTATGGGTGTTTTCCCGGCTGCTGCTTCCCTTTCTTCCTGAATCTGCCCTAATGTCCTTATTTCAGTAGAAATGGGCATTGATTTTGCAGAGTCTTGGCAGACTAACACCTTTTTTGTGCCCTCTTGGATGCATTTAAGTTGGGCACAGGGCCTCTGTAGAAGGCAGCTAGGTGGCTCAGTGGGTAGGATGCTAGACCTGGAGTCAGGAAGACACGAGTTCAGATCCGGCCTCAGACACTTAACCAGCTGTGTGACCTTGAGTGAGTCACTTTACCTTTGTTTGCCTCAGTTTCCTCATCTGTAAAATGAGCTGGAGAAGGAAATGGCAAACCACTCCAGTATCTTTGCCGAGAAAACCCCAAATGGGGTCATGAAGAGTTGGACACAACTGAAATGACTGAACAACAACGGGGCCCTCTGTACCCCTGAGCGGCGTCTCTCCCAAGTAGTAGTTAGGAACACGCGTGCGCATGTGTGTGTGTGTGTGTGTGCGTGTGTGTGTGTGTGTGTGTGTGGTTTTTTTGGAGGAGGGTAAATTCTTGTGAGTGTCTCAGTGCTTCCTGTCCATGAAGAACCTCATTTCTTTGTCCAGTTCTGATAGTGCAGAGCAGAGGTGTCTAACACCTGCCTGAAATATTTAGTAAAATAAGTAAAACAACAGGAAAGCAGAGTGATAAATTCACCTTTTACAAGTCCGTGCCTGTGACCCTGGCAGGGTCCTCGGGCAGCATTTGGTGACCCTTCCCTCCCCTCTCCCCACCCCCCACCCCCCATTTGAGTGGACGCTCCTGGCCCAGGGGTCCTTCTCTCTTCTGTGTTAGGGTTCTTCTGCCCTCCGGCCGGAAGGACTTAGTGACCTTCTCTTTCCTTGGAATCCTGTTCTCTGTGCCCTCTTCCAGTGTGACTGCTCTGTCCTGCCCAGCCACTCCAGAGTTGAGGGCAGGGCCATTCCGGGGACCCTCTTGTTTTCTCTTCTCCCAGAGAGACCAGCTTGTGTTTCTAAGACGTGTTTGGCACCTGCCTCAGGCAGGAACACAGACAAAGCAAGTAATCTCCAAAGCATAGCAGCAGTTTTCTCAGTGTCTGTGCCCCTGAGCCCCTTTATAGATTCCCCTTCAGAAAGCATGAGGCCCCTCTTCCCCTCCCCCCACACCCCACCCCCCTGGCCAAACATGTCTCTTGTTGGGCTCCTGGTTATTTGGAGGCTCTTGAGAACAGTGTCTGTCGTCCAGCCAGCCCGGCTGGTCCTCCTGACTGTTTCATGTGTGTCTGAAGACGTGGTTATTGTTAATGATTGATAACGTGTAGTGCAATGTGTGGACAAATGGGAGGGGAGGGGTTGTGTGTTCAGATGTGGTCCTGGTGGCTGAGGCTGGGGGATTGCTCGGCCTGGGAGTTCCGAGCTGGAATGGGATAAGCTGATTGGGTGTCCCTGCCAAGTTTGACATTAATGTCTGTGGTGGACCCCTGCGAGAGGGTGGGTTAGCCCAGGTGGGAAATGGGGGCACGGCCCGGGCCTGGGTGTCACCCCTGCCTCACCGAAAGGGGGAGACCCAGTCTTTAAAAAAAAAAGGATAGAGCTTGGATAATCTCAAAACTTGTTTTGGCATGTATGAGCTGGCCTTCGTTGTAGACTCCTTGAATGCGTTCTTTGATTGGGGGCAAGAGCAGTCATTTCTGTTGTGGCATTCATGGCATGGGGCCGAAATCGAGGGAGAATGGCTTTGTTCTTGTCCTCGGGGACCTTCCAGTCTCAGGCAGCTTTATTGAAGGAGGATTTGTAGAAGAGTCATAGTGCACGCATTTCACACGGCAGCGATATCACTTTGCAGCGCGCTCACTGCTGCCATGCTTACATCTTAATTTTTTTCATCCCAACGAGTAGACAAAGATAAGCTTTTTAATAGGATGGCTTCCTTTGTAATGCATTTCTTTCATTCGTTCAGAAACGACGGCCCCAAGAAATATTATTGTATTTAGTCATAATTATTTGGTCAATGCAAGCTGGCAGCATCCCATTACAATGTGGCTTTTCTGATGGATGCAGACAGAATGCTAGTCACGTGATGTCCCTGGAAGCCCCTCTTAGCCTGGAGGGGAAGGCTTCGTGCTGTTTTTGTCTTCCAGCCCATTCTGCTGCTTAACCATTTATAAGAGGAGGCCCTTCATTGGGCTTAGGCACTTCTTCTCAAAGATGAGACTGACTTGTAACTCACACTCTTTGTTCAATAATCACATTGGGTTTTAACATCAGAAGCAGCATCATTGAACACTTGCTATTTGTTTGCTTTAGAAGATTTTGAACAAATGAAATCCCCTTGTGTGAATATTTCCACTTTGATGCAGTACAAACATTTGTCGTTTGCTAGTTGTTATTATCAGGGCAGGCCAGGGGGAGTTTTTCTCAATAATCTTTAAAAAGACCTAGAATAAAGTGTGTTTCTTTTGTTTTTAATTCTCCCCAAACTTACCTCTCTAAAATGTGCTTGGAAGAGAAATCAGAAATACTGATCACTGCTTTTATGGTTTAGCAGAACCTTACTTTGCTCCTGTCTCCTTTTTGTATTTTTAAAAGCTGGTATGACTGAAGACTCCCATTGGCTTCTTTTCATCTTTTAGGGAAGTACAGTGAACCTGAATGTCATGGGATGGCTGTATTCCAGGGTTGAAGGTTTGCTTGGTTACCCTGGTCACACGACGCTGGGCATCACACTTATGATTGGTTAGTACATCTTTGTCACTTCAAGAACATAGCAGAAGGGGTGCTGTTGGGGACATGAGAAGATACCAGGTCTACACTGCTCCTGCCGCTTCCTCACGGGATGACCAGACAGAGGTCGGGCCAGCTCTCTGACCTGTGTTTCCTCATCTGCAAAGCGGAGCTAATAATCCTGCCTTTGTCTCACTTGTAGGGGCTTCTGAGAAGTAAGGGATGGGCGTTTCCAGTACGTCCTTCCACCAGCTCCAGGCGTCCCAGAGACGGTTAGGGTCGTAGTGTGGGGGAGGGGGTGTATACAGCGAAGTACTTCCTTTGGGGATCAGTGGCTTTCACTTTCCAGTAGTCTGACACAGCACACTGACTGTGCTCTCTCCCCAGATGGTAACTGTTTTCTCCAGCCCCAAGTGGTGCAGGATTTTTGGCAGTGAAGGGACATAATGGTGTGGACAGCCTTACAGATGCTTTAAATTAAACCTCCTCAGAGATTTGCTAAGAGGACTTATTCTAAGGAGTCAGGCAAAGCTTGGATGCTACTCTGACCTTAGACCTCTAAGAACCGTGTAGGTTACCAGTTGGAGATGCTTTGGGGCCTAGCAAAGCCCTTGGGGACAGTTGACCCTCCTTCTTTCCTTTCCTTCAGTCACTCTAATACAACCTCAGTGCCGAACTCTCCCTGATGTGCTCAGGAAATCGGCGTTTTGATTGGAGGTAGAAGGCAGGTCTGGGCTGGCTGCAGGTGTTTCCACAGCGCAGTGAGGACTCCTAGTGGGGCCGCTGGGCTGGAGAGGCGAGTTCAGAGGTGGCCGGAGAAGGGCAGTGAAGGCTGACTTGGCCTGCTTTGCCTTTACTCGTGTTATCGGTTGTCATTAAAGGTGGAGGGATTGGGACTGGTGGCTTTAAGCCTGGGGCTTCCCTGAGGAGGCCTGCTTGTCTTGCTTGTTAGCCGCCTCCAGCCCCGGATCCAGCAGGGCTTCCCTGGCTCCGTCAGTTTGGCTGTTCAGGCCCTTCCAGGGTGATGGGGAGCTTCCTGTTGGAAGGGTGGTTAGTAGTGATTCCCTCAAAGCCCAGGGTTTCCTTTATGGAAGTCTAGCCCTGCTTTTAGGCACCTCACAATCTAGTCTGCAGATGTAAATTCTTGGCTTTTATTTCAGGGGGTGTAACGTGTATCTTTTCACTAATCTGTGCGTTGATTCTTGGCTACTTGGACTGGAGAGCTGAGCGAATCCTTCATAAAGAACAGGGAAAAACTGGTAAGCCTTGAACCCTGTATTTGGGGATTGTCAGTGGAGGTTTTTTGGGGGAGGCTGCTGAGTGGACTGCCCAAATTGGGGGCTTAATGCATGATGGGTTTTTGGTTTTAATTTCCAAAATCTATTTCCTGTTGTCTAAATGTTTTTCTTTCAAACCTGATTGAAACCTTATTATTAAGCTTTGTGTTTCTTGGAAATAGAATATTTGCAAAAAAATTATTGTAAAGGGGCTAACCTCACTTGAACGTTTCAGCTTCTCAGGCTGCCTCCATGCGTTTGAATCAGTCCACCAATATTCTGTTGGTAATTTTTTTGGCTCAGAGATGATTTAACTTCATGTGAAACTCAGCTAAATTATGAAAGAAATAAAATCCTAAGGGTAGAAGAAAACCCGTGATCCTTGCAAACTTAGCGCTGTTCTTGTTCCTCAGGGGAAGTTATCAGATTGACAGACATGAAGGACTTCTCGTTATCCCTGTGGCTCATATTTGTGATTTGTGCCTGTTACTATGTGGCCGTGTTCCCTTTTATTGGACTTGGCAAGTAAGCATCTTGGCCTCCTCGTGGGAGAGCCGGACCCTCTGTTTGTGCTTCTGGATTGGACACACACAGTACTTCAGTGGGAAGTCTTGCATTCCTAGATGTGGGTTATACACTTAGCTTGTGGAAAAAAGTGAAGATAAAAAAAATGCAAGCACCTGTTTGATGTGTAGATGATTTTATTAGCCTGGGGTTAGTGTTTGTAGGTAATTTTGAGAAAACCCTTTTTAATAGTGACTGGTGTAATTGATTCTGTTTAAATCTTAATTTCAGACTTAGTGTGTCACTTCTGTAGCTAGGAAGACTGCCATATTCAGCATTAATTAAATTAAACACCTTATTGTCACAGGGTCTACTTTGTCCAGTACTCTAGAAATGCAAAGATGAGCCAACACGTCCTTCCCTTCCCACTTCAGGCAGCTTCTAATGGGTGGGGAACCTGTGGCCTTGAGGCCGCACGTGGCCTTCAGGATCCTTAAGTATGGCCTTTTGTCAGAATCCAAATTTTACAAAACAAATTCTGTCAAATTTGGATTCAGTTAAAAGGCCACATTTAAGGGTCTGGAAGGCCACGTGTGGCCTCAAGGCCGCAGGTTCCTCACCCTTGTACTAGCCCTTTTCCATTAAATGGTCCCACAGATGACTTCAGTGGACCAGAAGGGGGGGTATGTTCCAAAGTGAATCCCAGAGAAAATGCTGTGAAAAAGTTGAAGTTGACCGCTCTTTCAGCTGGGCTGGGAACAGGGAGGATGGGCTGGCCTGGCTGGACATCTGTTTGACTAGAGCTGCAGCTTCTTGATCCTGTCTGGTCTTCCTGAGTTTCTCTCACGTCCTCATTTATGTGAACAGAGCAACTTTTGGCCTTGTGACTCTCGCATTTACATTATGGCTTAAAATAATTTCCTACAAAGGCTGACGTCATTATGAGGTAGAGAACCCAATTAGTGCAGTCCTTTGAATGTTAAATTCTTGTTTCCTGAAAATTTACAACTAATGTTTCAGAAGTGGTTGGGGAATTGATCAGTTTGTTTAATTCAGATAATTAGGTGTCACCCAAGTTTAGCCTATAGATTTCAAAATTCATATTCAATAGGCTTTGAAGACAGCCTCATTTTAAGCCAGTTTAGGAGCAGAGGCTCATGGAGTTTGAGATGGAAGGCGCTCTGGAGGCCTTAGAGGCCTTGGCGTGAGGCCCTGAGACTCAGCAAGGCGAGTAACTTGTTGGCCCAGTGCTAAAGGGAGGTGGGAAGGGGCAGTACCGGCCATTGGCACTCCTCTGGTGCCCCTCTGCCTCACCCTTAAATGTCATCATGTGGAAAACTTGTTATTCTAGTCTGACTTTTTTGACAAATGAAGTCTTTTCTAAAAAATGCTGTTTTCCATTTCTGTTTCCCAACTCCTTTCAATTTTAGGGTCTTCTTTATGGGGAAATTTAAAGTATCCACACAAGAAGCAAGTGCAATTAACAGGTATTGAATCAATCAAACATTTATTAATGCTAATGTTGGTGGTTATGGGGGATGCAAGAAAAGTGTGAAAAATGTGAGAGCATTTATTGCTTTTTTAAACTGAATAGTGTATGACACCCAGTGGTAGTGAGGACTGAGGTGATCCAGCTGTCCCTGGGGCTACCTACAGAGCCTCACGGCCCTGAAGGGGGAAAGGTGTGTGTGAGTGTGTGCACACACATGTGTTTATCTGTCTGTCTGATGGGGTTGGGGGGTGCCGAGGAACTTCTGACTGCCTGTGGTCGATTTGAGATTAGGTAAAGTGGAGATCTGCTTGGTTTGGCCTAGGCTGAGAAGTGTTTTTATTGCCTTTGATTCATTAGGTGTATTCTATTTTTTTCTACCCTCTCTCTCCTTCTGTGTTAGTATCGTGTACGTCCTCTCAGCTCCTCTGTCTCCCGTCTTCGGGCTGATGGTGGACAAAGCAGGCCGAAACATCTTCTGGGTTATGTGTGCGGTCGTGGCCACCATGGCTTCCCACATGATGCTGGCATTTACCTTCTGGAATCCGTGGATTGCCATGGTAATGTGTGAGCCCTGGGAGGATGCTTTCTGATTTCTGTAGGCACCTTTATAACTGTGGGTCAGAGTGAGATCGGTAGGCTGGAGAAGGCCTGCTCAGCAGTGTCTGTGTGAGTAGTGATTTCAGATGAGGCATGAACAGTTGGCTTCCTTTCTCTGTGGTCTGGTCTCTGCCGAGGCCTCCCCACAGCTCACAGTCTTTTCCTCTTCTCTGTTGATGAGCAGACTCTCCATGGAGGCTTTCCCCACATCTTCTCACGTCTCCCACGCTCTCCGTTCCCTCGTAGCTCAGGACTTCACCTCGTACTTAACTGAGAGATGAGAGACGCGTTGTCATGAGCTCCTCCTCCTCCTCCCCTTTTCCAAGTCTTGGTAACTCCAGTGCCTGGCACAATGTCGGGCACATGGGGCCTTCACAAATGGCCATCAGGTGCTTTTTGCTTCCGTGTCAAATTTATAATATTGAAGTGTGAAATGACCCGGTTAAGGATATATTCCAAACCAGCCACGTGGCCCAGTGGACACAGTGCTGGGCCTGGGGTCAGGAAGACCGGAGTTCCGATCTGGCCGTCCGACTGTGGGCAGGTCATTTACCTCCCCCAGTTTCCTCATCTGCAAAAATGAAAATAATGATAGCACTTATCTCCCCTGGTTGTCGTGAGGATCAGATGAGTTCATAAATGTTAAGCACTTAGCACGGTGCCTGGCACGTAACCAGCACTATGTAAATGTTAGCCACCACCACCACCACCACCATCATCATTATTAGTATTAGCTATAGTGAAGTGGAGGGAGAGAAACAGCATTTTAACCTTTCATAGGCCTACGTCTTTGCCTTGTTGTGAGAAACGGTAAAAGTCATGAGACGCAGTTCAAAAGAGCATTAAATTGTCTGTTCTGTCTTTTATTCTCAGTGGGTCCAAATGGTATCTTTGACTTTGAGGTAAGGTTTTTGTGTGGATCCAGGTGTTTTTAGAACAAGGAGGCTGAAGTGTTGGATTCTGAAATGTTAAGAGAGTAGTATAGTTAATATTAAGTCTAATATATGGGCCTCCACTCAGTGAGAGCTACTTTAAATTTTGGTTTTTGAAGTTAGGTTGAAAATAGGAATCTTATTTAGATGAAAAAACGACTCCATTCGTAGCTTTAGTTTTTGTGCTTATGAAGGAGAACTGATGTAATTGTCCCTAGTTATGTCAGGACTTGTCACGTGCTTAGAGCCTAGTGCTGATAATTCATATATAGCTCTGGCCTCCACATAGACCCAGTTAGCTCTGCTTAGTTGCTTAGCAGTGGGCTTACCTCCAGCCCTCAGTCAGCCCCTTTGTGGTGGTGCTTTTGGACACCAGGCCGGAAGGGTGAGGCTGTGTGGATGTCAGAGCAAATCCATCACGCTGCTTGGGATTCACAATTCCTGCGTTACTAACAGTGAGCTAAGCCACCTCTTCTGGGTTTAAGGGGGTGACGGGTCTTCAAGATGTGTTCTCACATGCTTTTTAATACAGATTTGGTATCAGTCTCAAATTATGCACGTATGGCTTCTTTATAATGTGGATTTTTAGACCTCGGTTGACTTTTAGTGTTGTTTTTTCTGGTTTGGAAAATGCCACAAAGAGAAGCAGAAGCCTTTTTATGAATGTCTGGGTTTAAAGGTTTCTTTTTCTGTTGCTGTTTCCCATAGTGTCTCCTTGGAATCTCCTATTCCCTGCTTGCCTGTGCATTGTGGCCAATGGTGGCTTTTGTTGTTCCAGAGCACCAGCTGGGGACCGCATACGGCTTGTAAGTATCCATCGCATGGAGCCCTGTCGGGGTTCTCTGGGGCCTGCTGCTGTACCTTAGTTTGTGATACGGGGTCCTTGGATGGTTCATGACTTAGATGTGCAGCTGGTAGGAAGAAAACCACACAAAACCCCACACAACTCCCCAACCACACATGGCTATGGCAGGTGACACCCCAGTGTTCTACGAGAAGCCGCGTGCCTGTTTGGGAGGAATGGCCAGCTCTAGGTCAGGGAAGTCGATGGGGGCCTCCTTGTGTGCTTTTAGAGCTGAAGGCAGAGCTCCCAAGAGAGGGCGACTGACCGGTGGCACCTGGGGCTGCCGAGAGCTTCTGTCGCTCACTGGCTGTTTCCCTGCCATTCTGGTGGAGCTGATGGGATGAGGCCGGTTGGGTGATAGAGTCGAGGGATTACTGTCTCCTGAAGATCCCGTGGTGGCGTCTGCCTCACTGTACTTTTATGTCAGGGGCAAGAACCTGCAGCCTTCTAGAAAGCAAGGCCCAGAACCAGTCCTTGGCGTCAGTATCACACCATTGGCCCCCACACTTACGCACATCCCAGTAGCCGATGTCCTTGATGACAATCCTGAGTCATCTAAGAAAAAATGAAATTATGGTCAGTGTACTCTGTTTAAGAAAGTGAGAAATAGGGGGCAGCTAGGTGGTGCAGTGGATAGAGCACTGGCCCTGGATTCAGGAGGGCCTGAGTTCAAATCTGGCCTCAGACACATAACACTTACTACCTTGTGACCCTGGGCAAGTCACTTAACCCCATTGCCTAGCCAAAAACACAAAAACAAAAACAAAAAACAAAAAAAACAAGAAAGTGAGAAATAGAAATATTTCCAAAAGTGTATTTCTTCATTTGTTCAGTTCCTGACCCCATGGACTTGTCCTTGGGGTTTTCTCGGCAAGACCGCTGGAGTGGTTTGCCATTTCCTTCTCCAGTGTGTCCCCATTTTACTGATGAGGAACTGAGGCAAATAGGGGTTAAGTGACTTGTCCAAGGTCACACAGCTAGTAAGTGTCTGAGGTCAGATTTGAACTGAGGTCTCCCTGATTCCAAGCCTAGTGCTCTATTGGCTTACACCACCTCACTGCCCCCTACTAATCCACAGCTCTCCTTAAAACCTGGCTGCCCAGGATTTTGAACTGCAGAGGTCTTACTGTTGTGTGATAAAAGTGTCAGTTAAAAAGATGTTTTTAAAAGCAGTCCATTTCATTTCGGCATACGTTTGAATGGTGACTATGTGAGTGCCTCTTTAACTGGGTTCCATGCTGACACCCTCAGGAAGTAGCAGCGGTGGCCTGGCTGCCCTCTCTTCATGGTTAGGGTGTCCCTCTGCCTCCACACTTCCCCGAGTAGCACAGCCCGTCCTGCACTCCCTCTTTCGCCCTCGGGCCTTCCTTCTTGGAGTTGCCAGGCCAGGCGCAGAAGACACACAGGCGCAGACAGACAGACAGACAGACAGACA